AAATTTTAATAAGAACAATACAATCTTATTAATCTAAAACGTCTAACTTCATGTACCGATAGTGAACAACACATTTTGATCATATAATGAATTGTGTGTCACTATACCCAAACAGTCGAGTATACAATTTGTTATATTTCATATGATCATGGAACCTTAGATTATTGTCGCAAATTAGAACACGAGAATAATTGAACGTTAATTCATAATGTCGTTACAATATACTTACTACAAAAGGGCCTCAAACTAACATCTCTTCCAAATGCCATGTCTTGACAGTAATTGGGGTGCCTCCTCAGTCGACACCTTCCTCAATGGAGATTCATCTTGAGATTGTGGGAATGAATTGGATGTTTAGTCCTTTGACGATGTTACTGCTATGTTTCGTGGGATATACTAAAGCTTCAGTTTCCCGCTGTTGCTTTTCATAAATTAAGTTATGCTACCACGTTAAATATAAATTTGATCTCCATCCGACTCTTTTATTTGTCGATATAACCTTGTTGTTACCTTTCACTCGACTGGAAAATATGTATTAATTCTACTTTTGCACATGGTGCTAGATATAAATGTCGACTTCATTTCTTAAAATCTATATTTTTTTTGTTGTTTTTTCAGCGGCGCAATGGAAATGATGATGCAATGGTGAGCTTCGTTTTTTTTTTCTTTCTTTCATAACGAATATGGATAACGGGATAAGATTCCATTATATAATTCCATACCATTGAATATATATGTTATGAATTTGAGTAGGTCATCCTTTCCCCTGTATTAAGAAATCTTAAAGCACAATCAAGAAGGAGAAAAAGAAAATTGTGAAGAATTTGAAGCAAGAAAGTTAAAACAGGAAAAACATAAATGAAGAACTCCTTTTATCACGATCACCATTCACCAAAACAAATTCAAAAAATTTCAGCTTATTTCTCCTTCAAGAAATGCAGTATCTTTGTTTTGATTTACATTTTCTTGATAATCTTGTTGCTCGGGAATGCTTTAGTAGTCATTATCTTAATCTTGAGGCCCCGAATGACTGTATTTTCTCTCCAGACAGTTGATGTTGAATCTTATAAGATCCATGAAATTAACTCAGACCAAAACATGTGTGTTTTATCAGTTCCTTTCAATGACGGATCCATGATCAGATTACAGGCCAAACTAATACGGTAAAAAAAAAAAAAAAAAATTAGACAGGATTTTTTTTTTTACATAATTTTTTTTCTAACTAAAAAAAAAAAATCAGTTGGGGTTACAGCCCCCCTCCACCCGTCCCTGGTTCCTTCTCGGATTTTGAACACTGAATATTCAAACAAGGTTGTGTTAATTTAGAGCATCGAGTTGGGCCAAAGCGACGTGTTTTATATTTTTTCATTGTTTAGAAAATTAATTCGATGTGTAAAAATGAATATTCTCATTGATGTGCGTACAAATTATATCGTTATAAATATAAAAACAAAATGTACAAGTGGAGTTTACTGGTATTGATGGATGAAGGATTTTAGTTTAAGCATATTCCAAGTTGACTAGAAATTGTGTGAAAAAATTATAGAAAATAAGGAGTATCTATTGCTACATACATCTCTTTTAGGGTGTGTTTAATGGAGATTATTGAGGAAATAATGTATTTTAAATAGTGATATGATGGGAAATGTGTGGTTGAAAAAGAAGAAAAATTATTGATGTAATGAAAAATATTATTTTATTGAAAAGTGTGGTTGAAAATAAGAAGAACGAGAA